GGCTCCGGGGGTGGGGGAGGATGGGCTGGGAGGGACGGGCAGGAGGAGCTGGCCCCAAGGATGTGGTGGTGCCCTGCGGCCTGGCACCCTAGAACTCAGGTGGTGGGGAGGTGGCCGGTCAGGTCCTCCTAGGTAAACTACCACCTATTTTGGGCAAGATGTTTTAAATATCAGGGTCATAGACCAGGCAACTCGCTCGTGTCCCCGAAGGTCCCCAGAGACCCCCTGGCTCCAGTCCTCTGGTTTTATGAATGAGAGAGGGGCAGGGACTTGCCTGGCCCACCTGATGGATGTTGAGTCGAGGCGAGTGGCTATGACCATGGGCTGGAACTGTGTCTCTTGGCCACTTGGACATATTTTCCTTCTTATTTACAAACTTCTGTACAAAATGTACAGATTCATTGAGGAAACGAATTGTTCAGATTCATTCATTCATTCAGATGTCCAGACACATGTGAGGTAGGCTTTAGGGTAAAGGGATGAGCTGCACCCAGCCGGGGAGGGAGGGGGACCAGGAATGGGGCTTCAGGGCTCCTGGCCTGCCTGACTGTCACACGTTTGAGGCTACAGTAGGCACTGTGTGGTGTTGGTGCTGGGGACACAGTCCTGGTCCACTGACGCTCTGTGTTGCCACGAGACCAAAAGTCCCTTCTCCTTTCTAGGCCTCAGTTTCCCCATCAGAACACGGAGATGGCAGCTCTCGCTCTCTGGGCCTCATAGACTTTAGAGGGGACAGTGTGGTTGGAAGGACGGGAGACCGTAGTTTCAAGGCTCAGGCGTCACGAGCTGCTCAGTGGCAGGACCTCTGCTGCTCTGAGACGTGTGACGGAGGGCAGGCTGCAGAGAGGCAGCAGAGTGCTCGGCCCGGCTCCTAGCGCCGAACCTGGGCTGGCATCTGCCACTGGGCTGGTTGTGTTCTTTCTTTGGGCATCATTTGTCCCTCTGTGAAATGCCGAGTGCTGAGCGCTCTGCTTTCTGACACCCTCTTCATTCTGTTTCTTGGTCAGCATTGTCTCTGGGACATCCCGTGGAGTCAGGGCAGGGAAAAGCGGTCTTTGTGGCACTTCTGGGCAGAGTTCCCTGTTCCCTCTCCTCTGTCATTGGGTGAAGCAGACACCCCGGAGATCAGACAGTCACCCTGGACCTTTGGTGCAGGTTCTGCCCCTTTGTTCCCAGAATGCTGAGGAGGGTGCCAGCAGGGCCCCGGGGCCAAGCCCTTCCTCACAGGCTTCCATGCCCTGGGTGTGTCCACTCAGGCTCCCCTCACGCTGTGCTTCTGAGAATCCAAAATCCCAGCAAGCTCCTGATCCCTGAAGAAGTCCCAGTGCAAGACAGCCTCAGGGGGCAGGCTTCACCAGGCCATGGCTCCTCCTGGCTCTTGTCACTCAGCTTGGTGCCTGGGTCCTCAGGCTGTGCAGAATTCTCCCGGGGCCCAGCATCGTTCAGCCCCCAGGAGGACTGGAAGGAACAACCTGTCCATTCGAGTAGAATGGTTGTTGGTCCCAGGGAAAGGCCTGTCACAGCTTGTCACAGAAGCCCAGAAAGTGTAGGAACCTCAGAGCTCAGGCAACCCCTCCACAGACCCAGCCCCTGCTCCCAGGACACCGCATGACCTTGGAGACCTTGGAGGTCCCCACAGGGGCCACAGGGGCTGGTGGGAGGGAGACGGACGAGGCCAACCTCTGCCTGGCCTTCAACCAGGGCAGCTCTGCCTTTATGTTTCATATATTGGGCTTCTGTATATTAGATTTCACTTGAAGAAAGGACTCTGAGTCTAAAAGATGTTGGAGGCCACTGGTGTTCGTTTCCCAGGCTGCCATGACAAAGTGTCGTGCTCTGGGTGGCTTAACAACAGGCATTTCTGCCTCAGTTTTGGAGGCTGGAAGTCCAAGGTCAAGGTGTCGGCAGAGTCGGTTCCCTCTGAGGCCTCGCCTCTTGGCCTGCAGGTGGCCACCTCCTTGCCGTGTCCTCGCGTGGTCTTTCCTCTCTTCACGCATCCCGGACGTCCCCCTGTGTGTCCAAATATCCTCTTCTTAAAAGGACGCCAGTCAGATTGGGTCAGGGTCCACCCTAATGGACCTGCTTAACTTAATCACCCCTTAAAGGCCCTGTCTCCAGATACAGTTACATTCTGAGGTCCTGAGGTCTAGGGTTCAACATCCGAAGTCCGTGGGACACAGTTCAGCTCATAGCAGCACTGTCTCCTCGAAAGGGGAGACGGAGGCCCAGAGAGGAGAGGTTTGCAGCCGCAGCCACACGGCCAGCCGGGGCTGGAACTCGGGCCTGGTGCCGGGCCTGCTGCGTCAGCCGCCTTCTCCCCCGGCTCGGCCGAGGCCCTTGTTCCTTCCCTCGAGGACTCCTCACGCTCCGCTCTCCAGGGAATTCCCCTGGAGGGAGGTCTGGGCATCTAGATTTGCCAAAGTTGTAAATCTCTTAAGCCATAAGCCGCTGCTTGGCATCTCCCAAATGCCCTAACGTGAAATACAGATGTTCGTCCCTTTTAAGATCTGAGCCTGCTTCTGAATTTCCCATCATGTTTGCACCTAAGGATGCAATTACCATTTCCTCCCATTGTCCTTTCTGCCTGTCCCTCTGCTCTGAGCTGACGCAGGCTCTCAAACCCGCTGGGTGAACACGAGGCTGTGAGATTATGGAGATCAGGCTGCTGCTTCTGAAAGCTTCGGATGGCTCTGGGCCAGTGATGCTTATCAGTCCATGGGGCTCCTCCGAGGTTATTTTCTTCTCCTCAGAAGATGCTTGTGTGTGCGCGGTTTCCATCAATTCTTCTGCCTGAGCTCGGGCCAGCCGATTGCGGCCCTCGGCCATTTTGTCCCCCGGCCGGCTTCTTCCCAGGCCCGCTGGGCCGTCTCTGGTCGGCAACCCTCCACGGCCCTTCCCGAGGCCCCCCAGCCTTCACGGTTCTCGGCTGGGCCCCCGGTACCAGCCTGTCTCTTCACGTGGACCACAAACCGTCCTTGTTTCGCCGCGGTTATTAAAAACCACAAGAAAGCATTTCTCCTGAGGAGGTCATGGAGCTCGAGTTTCCACACTCGTTTTGGGAAGGATGTAGGCACCAGGGTGTGTGTCTCAGGTTTGTGGACTGATGGCAGATCTTAGATTTAAAGCATAAAATTGAGACCATATTTCTCTTCTCTTCCACCCAAAGGAAAAACAAACGTGGCCCTTCCTGCCTCTGGGCCACCTCTCCGCTCTCTGTGGGGTGGGGATGCAGGAGGCGGGCCAGGCTGGGGGCACGGGGCTGGGTGGGTGGCGTGTGCTCAGGGCCGTGTGCAGCGGCAGAGGGAGCCAGGTCCCTGGCCTCACATCGCCCCACGGGCGTCACCTCTCCAAGCACGTCCATAAAATTTAGGAACTCTTACTCCCCTGGGGGGCCGGAGGGCCGACATTGCCGTCCTTTGAGTGTGTTCCATAGATGTCGCTCCTTTCCTGTTTACCCGTCCCCGGCTCTGTTCAACAATAATGCTTCGTCTCCCGAGGGACTGACTTTGGGTAGGTAAAAGGAATAAATTCCTAATGGTGGACTTTCTAGATGGCAGGAGGGTTGTGAGATCGAGGGCGGGGTGGGGTGGGCTGGTGGTTTCGCTTCTTGGTGCTGGCCTCACATGTTATGGGGCCCCTGCTGACATGACACCCTGAATCATTCTGGCTCCCAGCACCGTACGGCCCCAGAAGACCATTCCCGTTGGTTTGAGGAATTCTTTTGGCAAAGGGGCTTTTTTCACTGCGTGCCTTTTGGGGACCCCATTCTGAGGCCGGAGCCACGGTGGTAACATGGGGTGGGGAGAGCGTGGGCCTCGGAGCGCCCCGGGCGCGTCAGGCCTGCTCCGAGCC